AGCTGTAGTTTGATTTGCCGCTTCTCGTTTTTATTTTTTTTATTGTCCCACTCTCTGACACCAACTTGTTACGTCTTCGTTCGTTAGTTAATTTCCCGTATAACTTATTTCCAATGAAACTTTAACGACACAAGTCCTTTCTTAAATAAAACTGGTTTATTCTTTCTGAATACAACTTTGCAATACACTTAATTTCCACAGTCGTGCTATAACAAACGCTATAATTCACTACGAATGTCTCACGTGCTCGACTCAACTGTCCATATCTATCTCTGTCTGCTGTTCAATTACGCATTGTTGCCGTCACTTCTTACCAGTCTTATATATACAAGAATACCAAAATCTAGTAAACGCTCAAGCATTCACAAACCTTTGAGAATATGACATGTTACTAGTGTCACGTGACCCCCGCTGTCGTAACAATATTAAGTAATACTGCCATTAAAATATTTTTGTAATAATTGCAATAATTTTGATAATTTCTAACTCTGAATATAGCTGTGTTGCAAGTCATGTAGTGATAAGTTGGAAAAGAATAAGTACTGAATCAATGGTGGTATAACAGAGTTAAGATATAGCACTAGCAACTGAATGTGAATACATCCTTAATGCAAGAGGTATGCATTCATATGTTATGCTTTTGTTAATAAACCACACGCACATTAAGGATGAACCACAGTAACTGGTAGAATCAAAATAACAATTTAGTATGATTATGGTATTCAAACAATTTTATTGTTGTAGTTAGGGATGTATGTTTACTTACGTTCTTTTTCATGAATAATGTTATGATTTATTAGATGGTAAATAGTACACTTTGTTCAACTAGCACATGAAGAAGATATTGTAGAGGAAATATTGTAAAGAGATTTAAAGTTGTTGCTGTTACAGAAAATGTGATAAACCACACTTTTTGTTTTCTTGGACATGTGATGTTTTTTAATTATTTGTGCAGTAAATTTTAATCTGTTATAGTGAGAAATAAACCTTGTCTATGGTTTTTTAAGCTGTGGTTTACACGAGTCATTTCATATAAACGTTTTGTACAGTACTGGACATAAGGGCACTACACAGTTTTATGCACTTCTTATAAACATATAAAGGAACTACATTTCAATACCAGTTGGAGGCTTTTAAAACAGCTTACCTAAGATGAGCTGTTCTCTCTCATTAATTTAGTAGAAACAAAGTTACCTGGAGTCAGATATTTCATTCAGTTCAAAATTTTCAAGTTACAGAAATCTAGAGCAGTTACAGCAGGATATCATGGCAGAAAATTAAAATCTATTTAATACACATTTCATCATTTAAGACTTTCTACATAGATCCTATTTGTCAATATTTCAATTTCTGAAAAACAATTAAACCTAAAGTATTATACTTAAAACACACGTAATACCGCCCACATATAGGTCAAATGGTACATTTTATTAAACCTTTAATTACACAACTTATATTAAAAACTTGTATTGCATTAATTTAATACAAGGAGTAACATAAATTTAGAAAAGTTTATAAAAATTTTCTATAAAATCAGCAATCAAAAACACTCATTATATTAACTTGACTTGCTGATAAATCAACCACATAATAAAAATGTTAATATAGTGTTACAGAGAGAAAGTCTGCTCCACCTTATCTGCTACCATTCGAGCTATTGCCAAAGATGAAGTTGCTCCTGGTGATGGTGCATTTCTAATATGCAATATTCTTTCACCTAAATTTCCAGAACCACTGTCAAACACAAAATCATCCACTAGGTTACCATTCTTGTCTAAAGCTTGTGCACGAACTCCTGTTGGCCCTCTAGAAAACCAAACGTTTTGAATAAAGTGTGAAAGTTAAAAACGTTTTTTTTCTTGAAGTATAAATTAAAACTTTCAAATGAGAGAAAGATAAAATACGTGAATTATAAATTTTGACTTAAAAGTTGTGTGTGTATGGAACATATGATTGAGTTAAATAATCTGACTATAAAAAAAAAGAATAATTTATTTATATGTATTACACATCTGATAGACAGTAGTATTACCACTAGACCCACTTACTTCCGACAATGTAATATTACATTAAGATGTTTCTTTTATGGTGGTTTTGGATGAGCATTGGGTCTAATACTACTTATAGTTCTCATTTTGGTTTATATGTGTAACAGTTGTAATATTAATAATAAAGTAGTTTGTAGCAGGAATTCAAAACAAAGCACAAATCGCTTGTTCCAAACCAGTGTGGATGTATTTAAGGCCAAGACTGAACAGGTTAAGAACAAAGTACAAAGTTTTAGTAAATCTGGCTATTAATGTAGTAAATTAAATCAAATTTCCTAACTCAACTTAAGAGTAAGTAATAGGATTTAAATTGACCTTCATAATACCTGTCTCAAGCTACATTCCACCTAGTGTTTGTTTGATCTATGTAGCATTTGCTTCACTATAAGCCTCTACAATGTTTCAGCATTTGAAATGTTTATTAAGGTGTTGTTCACATTATTTAAGATCAATGAAGAATTGATCTTTGGATCTATTTTATTATTATATTCTCACGTGTGACTAATAGAACACACTGAAAACTTCAGGTAGGTGAGATGAAAAATGCAATATTTTATCCAACTGTCAATTTAACTGTCTATTTTTTTATTATAATATAATACTAGAAACGATTTATGATAAATTTGGAGAATAGAATGAAGAATATAAATTATAAACACCACATTCTCTAAATGAAAAGTCCCAATCATGTCATTACCTTGTTACATCTGCTATTGTTAATGATGGAACAAATTTCTGTAGTTCTTTCACTTGCGCTCTGAGGTTGATGCTCCGATATATTTCTTTCAGTCCATAACCTAAGTGTTGAATTGCTAGCTTCTGGAAACCCCTTAGTACAATAAAAATAATCTTATATGCAAGGTTTTTTGACATATTCAAGGAAAATAATAATAATGGCATTATTTATACTATTCACTCGTATGAAGAACAAAATGCAACATCAGAATTATTATATCTTCTTGTTAGAGAATTCTTGAGCTACAGCATATTCTAATATAGAAAATCAATATTTTATTGAAGAATACAATGACACCATGTGGGAATGAAACCCATACACACGCATAACACATCTGGAATAAAAGATTAAAGAGGGTTTTCTGTTTAGTCTGTAGGAGATACATTTAACTATTACCTCTTCCTATAGAAATTTTACCTCACAGAGTAAGTTAGAAAATGAGGATTTCATAACAGAATGAATGTTCATTAAACTTTATAGATGCTGGAAGGAAGGTGTTTCAGGTTTTTAATTGACTATATGACACTTCTAAAATCTGACACAATCTTTCAAAATACACTAGTGAAGCCTAATGAAGGGCAGTTTTCTGAAATGTTGCTTGAAATACAATAAATCCAACATTGATTTCATTACTTTTTAGCCACAGCATAGTGGCTCATAGAATGGCTCCAAGTTTTTTTGTTTTTTTTTAAGTACAAATTTTTAACTCATAGCTCCATCTCTTGACTGATTTGAGATCTATTTACAGCTGCAGCTTTGAGACTAATAATGGCTGGAGACGGCTTGAATGGGTAACGAAGAAAAACTTTAATATAAGTTTAACATAACAGCAAATGGTACAACGTTTCGACAAGGTTT